GCTGTCTGCCCGTACTCACGGGCTCCGACTGGAGCTGTCTATTGGCAGCAAACGGCTCCGACTGGAGCTGCCGAAACGTCTCGAACTTCTGCCTCTGGTGTTGCTCACGAGGTTGCATTTGCTCCACTTGTTTTTGCCATTGCAACTCCCATTGGTGCTGCTGCATTGCACGTTGCCGCTCAAAATCAGCTTCCTGAGCACGTGCTCGAGCCTCAAACTCAGCCTGACCTCTGACCTCTGGCTGACCCCTGACCTCTGGTTGACCCCTGACCTCTGGCTGACCTCTTGGTTGATCTCCGGTTGGGCCAACCCGTTCCCCAAAACGATACTCTGCTTGTTGTTGTTGTTGTTGCGGCGGCGGCGGCCGCGGCTGGTTGTCCTGTTGGAATGGCGGCTCAGCAGCTAGCTGCAGATCCGAAACTGGCACTTGAACCTGACCTTGACCTCGACCTCGACCTTGAGGTTGCTCCCGATCGTCGGCTTGACCGTTTGGTTGGGTTCGAACACGCGGCTGCTGCTGCTGCCACGCAGCTGCCTGACCAACGACGACGCTGTTCCAGTCTTGTCGTTGACGCATTTGGGGTACGGCTGCTAACGGAGGTGGTGCTTCATTGTGGTTGTTGAGATATTGCGCTCTGCGTTCATCTGCTGCAGCCCAAAATTGTTGGTTATTGTGCTGCTGCTGTTTTGGAACGACGGGCTCTCGACTGGATTGAAGTGGTGGATCACGCTCTAGCGTCTCTTGAACTAGCTGAACTTGCTCTGGTGCCGTCGCATCCTCTTGGAAACTTAGCGATGGCAAGTTCGTGCCGCCGACGACTGCAGTTCGTCTAGGAGTTAGAGCCGGAGCCGGAGCACCTTGGCTAGACGGAGCCGGAGCCACCAGCCTTGACGGAGGCAGCGGTGGCGACGCCGGAGCCGGAGCTACCCGCCTTGACGTAGTCGCTGGAGCTGGAGNGCCGGAACCGGAGCCGCACCAACTTCAAAGTGCTGCTGTTGTGGTGGACGTATCGAGTTCACGACAGGCACTTGAAAGGTGGCGCCTTGCTGCGGATGCGGCTGTTGCGGCCAAGCATCGTCGAATGCATACGCCGTCGCAATAGTGGGTGCCAGCAGAAAAATTTCCGGACGGAAGCCGTCTCCGGTTAGCAACCAAATCGGCGCCAAAAACTGCTGTGTCGGCAAATTCTCACGTGGCGCCTCACGTCGGAGCTCACTTCGGAGCTCACGTGGCGGCTCACGTGGGAGTTCACGTGGGAGCTCACGTGCAGTTGGCACGAATACGGTAAATTGACGTTGAGCTTGAGGCTGACCATACGGATACGCGATGCGTTGCTGGGCGCTCACCACAAGCGAACCGATCACGTCTGTAATATTGGAAATCAAATGATCACTATCAGCCTGATAAGGTGATAAGATCAATTGATCAATTGAAGCGGTAAAATTAAACCTTAGCGCGGTAAAAATTGCCGCCTTAAACCACACCGAAACATGATAGC